AATACTTCATTATAGGAAGCCAACTGTAAGGACATCAAGGTATAATGTATCGTATTTAATCTTACTTTTTACTAATCTTACTAATAGTATAAATGCGAAAGTTTAGATGGATGGATGTTTGTTTAAAAGTATCTACGGAACGGCTGAAGGGATTTTGCTGAAATTAGGCATAAATGTAAAACATAGTCTGGAAGAACACATATGTTGCATAATAAGTTTTTTTTATTTCCGGGAGGACCAAGTCGTGGGCGACAGCTAATACTCTACAAATTAGTTTTTATTTACAAAAATTGGCCGTCACATAACCTCATTTATACAAGATGTTAAGAGAGTAGGAAATTTTTTGCTTTATTATAAACTGAGATCGTGTTAAGTGACAGCTTTTGTTTTACGGAAGTACTTCCTTGACCGACTTGTTACGAAACAGGCCTGAGTTAGAGCTTATACGTACCACATGAATACAGATGCTCGCCTCGACGGGAGAACTGCGGTGCCCGCAGAACAACATTTATTTAAAGTTTAAAGATACGATAGGATAATTTTAACAATAATAATTTTAATAAAGTAAAATAAACGGCTTTACTAGGGCGGCGTCAGGTGTTCCAACTACTTTCTTTTTAAACATTATAAAAGTCTAGTAAAATAAAAATAAATCGTTTTTTTTATTTATACTTCTTTTTCTTGTCTCTTTTATATACTGCTAACGTTTTAATTAGTTTAATATGTAATATCTCATATAATTCCTTATTTTTCTTCATAGCTTATGGTAGAAAAACTCGTAGCACCCATCAATGTTGAGTCAAAATTAATTTGCTTAAAGAAGTCTCAACTATGCCCAATACTAGCCGTCGCTTGCGACTCTAGATTAAGAATTAATAAATATTTAGTAGCCTACGTGTTCTTCCAGACTATGTCCTAAGCCTATGCCAAACTTCAGCGAGATCTTCAAACAAAAATCCATTCATCCAGACAGTCACATTTATAATATTGGTAAGATTTCTGTATAAATACTTCATACATACATGCGTTAAAAGTTATCGTTGTCCATAAAGGTATCATAGGGAAACCATTATCACCTCGCACCGTGTAATTTCTATAGTACTGTAATGATTGTTAAAGACCACAGCGCTAATGTATAATGAACCGTATCGTACAGTCATAGAATTCAATTTGTATATTCGTAATATTTATACAATTCGTTCGTTTAATTATAGGATTTATTCAAATCATTTATCTATAAAACATCACGTGGATGTGATGTATTGTTTTATAAAATAATATGACAAATCTTTAGAGTGTCATAAAGAGAATTTAGTTTGTGGATAATTTAAAAAAAAATATATTTCAAGGTTACATTTTTTATTAAAGTTCCTATTGTTTAAGGTTTCAAACTTATCTTAGGTTATTTTATATTATGATAAGGTCACTATTACATAATTATATTCACATCTCAATCCTGTTCATTAACTTAATATGATGTTTGAAATTAAATTTATAAAGTTAGCGGCGTTAAAATAAAGCCATGTTCGCAGACGGTACTTTCTCCGTACTAGAGAGTCAAGTGTACCACTGAATGAACTGGCACAACCCTAGTCTACGTGCGAGAAGTCTTAAAGTATCCCACACAATAGGGTTGTTACGTCATTGACAATTAGAAGAAAAATGCTTTCGAATACCATATTATTCAGCATATTTTAAGATCACAAGGCTATTTTCAATATTAATAGACTTCAAACGTCTGTTACGTTTTTAATACTACGAGACGTGGGTTTTAATCTCTCGATATTGAATTTTTATGAATATTTTTCAGATGAAAATAGATATTTTTCACCTGAAGCACCTCTTCATTTCGAGTATGCTTTCACACTTTTAGCCAAGAGGTTATCAAGGGCATCAGATTTTTATATAATAATAAAATATTGCTGCTATGAAAAACACGTGATTTATTTTTAAACAATTAAATCGATACAAACAAACATTGAGGTATTTGTTATGTTAATTCTTAATAATATAAATGCGAGTATTTGGATGGATCAACGAATGGATGTTTGTTTGAATCCCGCTGAAATTTATCAGAGCTGTAGAACATAGTCTGAAGGAACACATAGGCTACTAATTAAGTTTTTTTTTAGTTTTGCGTAAACGGAGTGGCAGGCGACTGCTGTTATATAATAAAACAGAAATAAATATGCAGTTTACACATCAAAAGTTGTGTTGAAATAAATTGACTCACTTTTTCAACAACTAAATTGTTAGCGAAATACGTTTTTATGAATAACTATAAACCATGTATAAAACAATCACGCCATTCACTAAGCTTAACCTTCGGTATTTAGAATAACAATGTGACCCATACAAAGAGGTTAAATCGCTGCAAACGTAAAAACTAAACATAATTCTTTGGCAAGAAATAATAATCCCCATTAGGGTCAAATGTAAAACCACAATTTCTCTCATAAATATAATAACAAAAATAATATTTGCGACAAAGACATATCTTTGGTGTTACCGACGGTTACCCAAAAAGGTATGCCGAGGATTTTGCTGGACTGGAAGAAGAGTGATATTTTTATTTAAATATTTATATATTTATATATCGTAGTTCTTATTATAATGAAATGATAAAAAGTTTTTAAATGTGTACAATACTTCAAATTATACTGATTTCAGAAATCGATGAAAAATAATTTAAACATAAAAGTTAATACATTTTAAACGATCTAAACTCATTGTTGTATGTTTTTATATTCCCAGTATGTTAATTTTTTTCTTTAGTCTCCATTCACATATGCATATCATTGTCTAAAGTCAGCTTTAGTGACCGCTTAGTTACAAGACTAGCGCCCTATTGTACTTTCGTGGACAAAAGCGTTATTATTAATTTTGTGATAAGGCGTGTCAGTGCGCGTGGCGCGGTGTGTCAGCTTTGTGTCAAGGTCCTGCGCTATGCAGATATCGACTTACTCGCTCGATATTATGACTGATTTATGACGTGTTACGGTGACGCTTTTGTTGATAATTGTACTTACTATATTATTACCATGGATAATAAGTAGTTGTACAGTTATTCAAATAGTAATACAAATGAATACCATAAAAACTATAAGTATAGTATTGAAGTATACTTCACTTAACCCTAACTTAATAATGTACCCACCACTTAATATTTGCTATATTTAACTTACAGCTGTTTAACTATTTAATATAAAGCTAAAAAAAATATTTTCTCATTATACTAATGACTCCAATAAGGCATTTATCATTATTATCACGACAAAGAGTTAGTAGTTCCCTTTTTAAAACATACCAATATCAATAAACAACAAAAATGCCTTTGTAATTCTCTTTTTTATTACAACAATTGTTATCTTAACAACTGCATATCTCTATTGTATGAGACGTATTTTAAAGCCGAAAATTGAAATGAAAACTCTACTTTCTATTAAAGTGACGAATGAAAAGAAATAATATGTATACTTGTATTCAAAAAGTAAACATTTTGTAATAATTTAATTTATAAAAGTAAGTTAAACGTCCATTTACTAAGCCATTTTTTTAATTCTAAATTATAAACCAATCCAATTTGCTTATTAACATTTTTCTTTTCCCCTAGTTATTAATGAAAAGAATGAGAAAGTCGAATGGAATACCGTAGGCCGTAAAAATTTCGAATTATTTCCTTGCGTGTACAAAGAAATTTGAATGTAGTCGTATTCCTGAAATTGTTACTCCTCGGGTCGACTTAAGTGTGTTGCACTGTTATTAGGTTAGACTTGGAAATGATAAATTTATACTTCGACTAAGGGTGAAAACTTTCCTAAGGGCTTTTGTAATAAAAGCAATAGAGTGTTATAGGAAATGATTATAAAGGAATACTTCCGGATACAAGTATCGAGTTCGTATATTTGAAAAAAAAAAACAAAATAAACCTTACTTTAGTAATTAGTAAATGTATTACACATTTTGATATATAACTGAAGTTTGGAATTACTTTTCTTGGAATTTTGTAGTAGAAATTAATTTCCGATTAAAATAAAAAATATCTTAACCTATGTACCAAAATGTTAATTATAGTTAAGTTAAATAAGATGATATATCTTGTAATTTAATCTGCATCTCAAAACCAGGAAACGAAAATAAATTCAATATCTCTCTCAATACCTTTTCGCAAAGAAAACTCTCTAACCTCAAAACGCTTTGTTTTTGTATTAGATATTTGTAAAATATTTTCATATCTACGTGTCCACACAAAACCGATTACACGATGCATCCAACTTTCCGAATAACAACTATAAAACAATGATATGGGAATTCAACATCGAGCTTTTCCAAAGCGGTCCCGCGTTGCAAACAGTTTCATACGAACATTACAATGTATTTCTCTCGGCATTGTACTCAAACTGAACGATGTAACAAAGCACGTTTGGTATCGTCTGTACTCCACGATGGAAAGCTGACAGTTTCTACTAATGAATTACTCTTCTACCAATTGTGTTTTCTGATTGAAGTTGCGTATACACTTTTTTATATTTGAATATTAAAAAAATAATAAAAAATATACATCATGGTTGTGCACGAAACCAATTAGTTTTATCTTTGCAAATTCATACGAAAACATTAACAATTATCAATATTGTATATAACGAAAATTTCCAGTATGTGTGTGTGTGTAGTTTTATGTGAATTATTAAAAAAAAATATTACACAGACATTTGAAGGAACAATAACAAGGATTTGTTTTCACTCTTTACTCAGACAAAGCCACTTAAAGCTGTCCAACGTAGAATTTACTTTTTCCTAAACCTTAACACAAAATAACACAAGTTCATTTAAGTTACCAAATATTACATACCAATTCATTATCATTTTAAAACCAATAAAGTTAAAATTTCAGCAATAATTACTAGATAATAACGTACATACACAATAAATATACAATATCCATCGAACATAGCATGCAATGCCACAATTTTACACATTTAAAAATATGAATGACATACCCATGACGTAGGAGGATATCTCGGGAACGGCGCAATGGTCTTAGTAGCGACATTGCTCGGGAGTTCTGCTTTGATGCCTCTCTTGAGGCGTTGTTTTCTTCTCTCTCGCGATTTTGCTCTTAGCATAAGAGCTGCCTGCATACTTGCCAGTTTTGTGGCCGTTAAAAAACGCCCGTTACGAACACAGCTTAGCCCCTTGCTAAGTTACACTCGCCAAAAATAATATCACTATATCTCGAGGATATTTCAACAGTTCAGTGTTTTCCGCACTCGCGTATTGAGTTTGTTTTGTAAAACGAAATTAATATCTACGTCTAGCGTGACTAAGTTGTTATTGAAAATAAGATTTAATTTCATAAATAGAGTAAAGGGAAAATAGTTTATGGTCAATATACGATTCCACTTTTCAGTCTAATCACAGATTCTTTTTATGTTACAATCTCACTTTATTAGATATATTGATAGGCACGAGAAAGGCAAGAAAACTATCTTTAAGTTAAATCTAATTGAACGTTTTTTTATTTATTATCTAACAAGATATGTTTAAGTTGAGAAAATGATCATGGAAGCGAGCGCGATTTGGCGTTTGATTATTATTGAACAAGTCGTTAAAAAGTTTTAAAGTTCAAACACAGCTGTCACTCATGTTTCGTTCCGTACGTCAAGACGTAGTCTTTGATACTTCGACGCCTGCCACCGGACGCTGCTCTCCGCTAGGTGTCGCTGTTTCATGGCCGGCCCACTTTTCTCACTTCGCGTGTACACACTTCTCGGTAACACATATTAACGCCGTATCAAATGGCAAACGCTATCAAAACAACAACAACAACCAAAAAAATATACCAGCGAGCTCAAACTCAGCGCGTCTAAAAGGTGACGTCTCACATTGCATTGTCTTGCGCACATGCTGCATACGATAATAACAATATCACTCATAATTACATAAAACTTAATATTAACACACAACATAGGTTACATCTAGTTACATGCTAGACTATGACACTGAGGCGCACAACATCACAGGCAGTGTACCTCGACGGTGTCGCATGGTGAATGCGGCTCTGCGAGGGCGGCGAAGGCGGCGCGGGCGGCGCGGGGGAGTGATGCCGGCGGAGCGAGACGCGACTCCCAATGTTGGCAGGAGTAGGCGCGCACGCCACTTGGTGCGGGGTGAGGCGGGCTGCGCGCGCGCGGGCTCGCCGCCGGCGCCGGCGCGGGCTGGCGGCCGTGCTGCCGAGCCTGCCGGCGGAGCTGACGTTAGGAACGCCATTGTTTACTACAGTCACTACATGATCATACACATACACATGAAATGACAATATAAATGAGAGCTAGTAAATTCTAATGTAATTTCTGAAAAAACAATATGTGAGCTAGGCTAAAGGAACATAACTATTTCTAGATGTCTACGGCTTACGACTTTGGCAAATAGATACTTGTCTATAAGCGAAAATTTGCATGACCTTGCCTATGACAAACTGATATTAAATTTCCTAGATAATGGTTCACCTATTGCATAATTTTATGATATAAAGATATAATAATCCTACCTAAAACCTACTCAGAGGTAGGACTACGAAATTTTTTTCGATTTGCTACAGCGTAGAGCTATTATTTCTTACTACTAATCGTGTATAATAACATGAAAACTGATTACCACAAATACGGTTTACAAAAAAGGCTGCATCATGAAACAACCAAAATACTGTAATGAACAAGAAGTACTTGCGCTGCTAGCTGTAAACACAGAAAAGCAATATAGTGGGCGCCTGTTTCAAATTTCATGTTATTATTCACGTAAAACTGTATACTACGGTATGTAGTACTGATTAATAGTAATTAAATAGAAGACACATACATTATTAAGTAAATGACCAGTAACCATAAGCATAGAACTAAAAATAATACATATCGATATTAATGTTTCACCAGGGATTATTTTTTTTTTTGAGAAATAGTGGGAGAATCTGTCGCCAGTAATTTTTAACTGAGGAGTAAAGATTTAACGGATTTAAATTTTCAAAAATAAATAAAAAGAATGCATGTGTCTTAATTTATTTTAATTCGTACTAAGCCCGTTAACACCAAACGTATGATCAACCATTGAATGTGAAAAAATCACTATAAAATCTATTGTGAATCTGTTGCTACGTTGCTTCTAGTTCTTTGCTACGCATTTCTACATCTTTGCTACGCTTGAATGGCTTAGTGCTGTTATTGTTTAAAAAATCAAATATACTATCACACAATAAGCCAGTGGTTGAATACGTTTGACGTATGGGTAAATATGTTTGTATGTAAGTGCAGGGATGCTTACCTTCCGGCCCGCGAGCGAGGCGCCGCCCGCCGCCGCGTACATGCACCGCGGGCGCGCGCTACCCGCGGTGCGGCGCCGCGCGGGCCCGCATCCGGGCCCCCCTACTCACCAACACCTATAACAGCACACACTTTTATAACCACCAATTATACGCATCATACAAACTAGGGTTGCCACCAAACGTTAACCAATTATTAAAATAAGTTTTAACCAATTTACAGTAATAACTTTGTCGTTTTAAGTGAGACACGTAGTGTTAATTTATCAAAACAAACCCAGTTAAGGACTCACTTAATGCATGAACATGCCATATTTTACGATAGATTTACAAAGTATTTGGAGTCATTTGAACAAGATGGCAACCCTATTTTAATTATGTTGTCAGTTTTTATATATAATTAACAAAGATTGACCTAAGAACACATAAACATAACTATTGGCAGACAATTACAGGAGAGATAATTAAAATAATTAAACAAATTTTTACTTAACACTAAAAATTATATTGTATTCATACACCCTATAGTTTCCTAAAATATATTTCAAATAAATAACTTTAAATATTTACAAACAAGTGTACCATTAAACCAATTTCATTGAATCTCGGCACTTTTTGCGCATAACAACTTGAAACATCACACAATTGTTTTAAAAATAACAATATTTATTATTTCCACTAAACAAAAAACAAATGCATAAAAGTACATGTTACATATTTTAGGTTTTAAAATTAAGAAATTGAACTTAAATTCTAAACGATTAAAATACATTTTCGTGTAACCAAAACTTTTACAATAAACAGTTTTTAGTATAAATTAAAACACTATCAACAATCTAGCACATAATAATAAAAACTAAAAAAAACATTAAAAGCAACAAGAACCAAACTATTAAAATGGTTTTCACTTAATTGCTCTCAAAGTCAGGTATGTGCTCTTACGTTCAGCTCGAATATCTGAATATCACGTAAGCGAGAATGCATGCACCATTAAATATAGAACGCTTGAATTCAAATATCATTTATTTCGAAACTGTTGGAATGTTTTCACTCTTTTATACATATAGATTTGTTGAAACATTCAACTTTTATATCATATTTCATTAAGATACAAAAAAAAACTCACTAGACTTCTAAGGCTTTCAAATTTATAATGCAATTAATCAGTTACTAAGTCTTTTTATTAACTATCCCACCTAAACAAAGTAACATAAGCCATATCGCTACTCAAAAAGTCAAAAATGTATGGAAGGGAAATAATTTTAAATATTATATATCACGTATTTCTCCTATATATTTTAACACAATTTGTCGATTCTACTAGCAAAAGCTATAATTGAATGTTACATTGTCTACGGAGATTGTTAAGTTATAAATAAGTGATTTTACTTATTTTGTTAATATATAAGGTTAAACAGTTTTCAGTTTTTCCTATCCTTATACTGTCTTTATACATAAATGGAAGATCTATCGCTATTTTAACTCACAATTAAAATTAAAACACACAAATTAAATTCAATATTGAACCTTCTTTAATACTTAACTAAAGATACATACAAATAACTTAAACTGTTTTTCTGAAAGGTTAATATTTTAATACATAAACTATGTAATAACCTCACAGTTACCTACATAATATAATTAATTTTCGCATCACATGCAAGACTGTCCCACATAATGAGCTAATGCACTAACGTAAATTAATTATTATTGAATTAATATTTAATATAAACGTTAAATACTGCAAACATAATAACATATACCAAATGTATTAACATAATTAATAAATATATTTGCATAAATGATTTTGGTTAAATAATTTGACAGGAAGTGATAATTCAAATCAAAATCAAAAAGCGTCAATAGCCTAATGGTTAAGGATACGGATTTCCGACCATGAGGTCGGGGGTTTGAATCCCGCCATTCGACTATTGTCGTAAACCATATCCTAGCACAAGCCTAGAGCTTAGTTGGAATGGTAAAAGAAATATTAGTAAATTTACAAAAAAAATCTGCTAATATTTTTTATTTTAAAAAAAAATTAATTGAAATACATTTAATAATTAATCCAACATATATAGTATTATTATTTATCATTAGAAAACAAATAATTTGACGGAATATTGACATAAAAATTTCAAAATATAACGAAACAACGCTTTAATTTGATGTATGTGAAATTACATTAAACGTTCTCTGTTAAATATTATATTAATTCTAGAAACTAAAAAATTGGAAACGATAACTCTTAGAATATCAAGAAACAGATTTAAAAGTTACAAGCAATTAAAGCATATTATTTTAAATCTAAATACTATATCATAAGTTTGATATACATTGCAATAATCATTACTTAATTAAACATGAAGGTCGTTTAAGGGATTGGTTTAGGAGAGACGAAACTAGTTCAAAACTATAGTTTAACCAGCCTATCTCGATATCTCAACATTGTTATAACTTTAATGGAATAAATGATCAAAACCGTTGAGCTCCGAAGCGGCAATCTAAATTCATATTTTAACCTAAAGTGTTTGCCAACTTGTGTGTACGTTGCCTACAAGAATTATGAAAGGGATTCACTCATAATATATTGTGTACTTTGGTGTCATGTTTAGAATATGACGGGCTGAATCGTTTCATAACTTAGCACTTAATAGTACTTAGTTCATAATTTACAGTACTAACGTAATCATCATCGGCTCAGTGTATGTTTCTACTGATGGGCACAGACACTACCTTAAGTTAGGGGTGATTAGGTTATAGTCAACCACGCTCGCCAAGTGCGGGTTGGTTGACTTCACACATATATTTGAATTTCATCTCAGA